ATCTGAATATTGAAAATGGTCGACTTGTAAGGCTTCTATCGCATAGGGAGCCTAAAAACCGTAGTTATGATTTATATGGTAGTCATTATTGTTAGAAAATCCATATAGGATCTTAAAAATCCTGCGGTGGCAGAGTGGACCTAAATAAAATATTTTATTCGAGATGGTTTTTTATAATCTGATTATCAGAAACATCGATTGGAAAAAATTAGCTTAAACCCTCAAAACCCCGAAAATGTGTTTCGATTTATACCGTTTTCAATATCAACCTGGACTGATCTGTTTCGAATATAACGATTTATATAATGATTTAAACAGACACCTAGACTCTGTTCTAGAATATATAGCCATTATTGGGTCTCCCACGAATTGATTTCATAAAAAATACAGATTTCCGAACAAGGCAGATAATTAAATATTTTCAAGTATTCTGAGGCTATTTCTCTAGATGTTCTGATATATGAAATTTTTAATATTGAACATACTGATAGTATTTTAGGGTACGTGCAAAATTTAAAATATTTGTTTTAAATATAACGTACTTATGATAATTTCAACAAACACCTAGACCAACATGGCTCAAATAATTCGAGAATATGAACCCGATTTAGTGTAGGTAGGAATTATGGAGTCTTCAACGAATGACAAAATAAATACAGCCTTCATGTTATAGGGAAGGGTATAAACAGCTACGGTTGTTGGACCGTTTAGCCAAGGCCTGTTGTTTTATAAAAAATATACAGATTTCCAAACAAATCGAATGCTAATATGATAAGGGAATAATATCATTGAACGTAGTACATCTGATATGAGAGCAGGTCAGATAAAGCTGTTCAATATTGCGAGAAACAAAGTCGACCATGGCAAACTCGAAACTCGCCTCCGACGAATTACACAATTAATACAACCATCACCTTATAGTGTAGGGTATACAAGGGCTCAGTCTTTTGACTTAATTTTACTTAAAATACAAAATTCCGAAAAATTGGAATGATAATATGACAATGAAATAAAATCATGAACCTATCAAAATTATTATTTTTTATCGTTTCAATCATTTGTCCCCTTCCTGCTAAATGGCCCCACAGGGACCCCATCAACACTGAAAGGGTTAAGAGCATTCCCATTAAAATATGCAAACACCAAAAACTCCACTTTACATTCTAAATGCTTGTTGCTAATTTATTACCATTATCCTCTTATAGAAGAAATTTGGATCTATTTCAAGCAAGTACTAAAAACAAAAAAAAGTATTTTCTTGTGGTTTCTCTGACCCCAGGCTCCAATAGCCATGTCGCAGCACTGGCCTTTTTCGGTAGGTTTTTATATTTATTTCAACTTGAAAATATATTTGTTTTTCTTGTTTTATTTTTGTGGTCAAGAAGTGTAAGTCCGTTTTTGTTTTACCATCATCATTTTTGGCAGGCATACAAAAACGTAATGTAACCCCCTTACCCTTCTGCCCCTTTATGTGTTGCTTTTATAAAAAAAGTCATTGTTTAAAATATTATGCCATAAATATCTTGAGAAAATGGCAAAAGAAACGGAGAACAAAAAACCTCTTTCCTTCCATTTATAAACTCTTTTTCTTTCTTGGCCACAAAGACAGTTACACAAAACGAAAAAGAAATATGTTTTTTTTCTTCTTCATATATGGCCACACACATGCCGTTAGCCGTTATTTGGCAAAAATACTTACTTGTCCACAACCAATTTGGTCAAGATAATATCACGTTTATAAAACACTGGATTGCCAAATTCATGATCGATGGCTTTGTCCATTAATGGATGTTTACGTATGAAATTGAGCACTAAATCGGGCAGGGCTTGGGTATCTTCAACACATGTACCGGGACGTGGTTCGGGTACTTTGGAATTCAAGACAGGCAACCAGGCGGAATTGGAGGTGGCTTGTTCTTTGAATTTACCTGTAAGAAAAAAAAAACATGGAGACATAAATAACATTAGATTTAAGATAAAGAAAAAAACATTTGTATTAGAAATATTTATGAGTGTATGTATGTGCAGATGTTAAGTGGAATGGGTTAAATTTGCTACAACATATAGAATTATATAAGAGGATAAATTCAATGGGTTTGTAAACTCGATTTGCCCTCCTAAGAATTAATCAACTTTTTGAATAAATCTCTTTTTTGGAGTAAATATTTTTGATAGTTTCTGCAAAAATATTTTCTAAAAAATAATCTCAATTTATCTCAATAAAAAAAATCTAAAAATATTTTGTAAGAAAAATAAATTTAAAAAATCTTTTTTATATCAAAAATTAGAAAAATATATGCTTTTAAAATATCCTTACTTTCAATTGTGTGAAATTTTGTTAATACAAATTTTTTACAAATTTTAAATAACTACTTATAAACATGATATATTTTTACCAAAATCTTTCGCGCTTCATTTCTGAAATCCTATGTAACCCCCTTTCTTGTAACAACTTGAAAATTCGTCTTAATTTTTTCACAAAATTTCCCTATCAAATTCTTTCATTAAAATCTATTGCTTCATATAAGCAAGAGATTAAATTTAAACATATTGTTTCAGGTTATAAAAATTATTCATATAAACGAAATTTTACTGCATAGCATTCACAAAAAAACCTCATCCACATGCAGCTACAATTTTGCTACACTCTTGTTAAAATATTATAAATATACACTGTAACATAAACCTTTAAGGGGTTATGTGAATATAAACGTTTTTTATTTCACATGGTTTTATAAAAAAACGTGTATGAGTGTCTTGTGTAGAGAAACACCTGCAGCACCAGGTTATAATCAGGACATTCCGCTTTATTTTTCTGTGTTACTTCTCAGCATAAAATTTTACGAGGCAAGATGAGATTTAACAAAAATATTATAGTTGCCATACATTGCAAGTTGATGCAAATATTTGTACTTGAGCTGGTAAGTGAGTGTGTGTGAAGGTCGTTATTACATCGTAAAAATCATGAAATTTTGTATATAAGTATATTTCTTTTTCTTCAAGAGGGAAGAGTTTTTAATATCGTTTAAATGGGAATGATGTGATTTTATTGAACGCTGATATTTTGGAATGCCAAATAGTTGAAAGTAAAAATAAATTTTTAAAATTTTGGAAACCGTATAAAAATGAAATTTTGGATAATTGAAATATACATATTAAATTATTATGAAGGCTATTAAAAGGCAAAATTTCTTTCTTTAACAAGTAAAAACATGGATAAGTTAGGCGGGTCTAATTTTTTTATACCCTCCACTTTGATGTGGACGTTCAAAATAGCGAAAGCCGATCGAAACTTTTATATGGGTGCCATTGATGCCATTAAGAAACAAAATATCAAACCACGGACACTCAGGTTGGTAAATTGGGCTAATACCTTGAACAACATGGTGATTTTATAAAACATGGCGATTTTATAAAAAACATGACTTGTATGGGAAATAATTTGTGAAGAAGTTGTTTCCCCACCAAGGGCCCGGAAAGGAAAATTACAGCCATGTCATGATGGTTAAATATAGTCATTTCACACTAGGACAATCCAGGTATTTATAAAGGAGCAGCGTCTCTATTTAAGAACATGGACTTATTCTGTGAAGCTGTTTTTTACTCGCCATTGTCCCGAAATGTCAAAATGCAGCCACTTCGTAAATATAGTCATTTGCGCCTAGGACTATTCAAATGCCTTTATGGGGAGTCTATAACCAAAATTTTACCATAAGTCGATTTCGTTTATAAAGACGGTCAAGGGACTGGCGAAATTGGTCGTAATTATTTGGTAGGAAGCCATTTCGTATGAAGTCTATATCCAAATATCGAGCTATATTTATTTATAACATCAAATTAGAACCAATACGTTCGATCATCTGGTTCAAAAGCCACAAAATACCGACTAATGGGAGTTACCGGTATATGGGGGCTACCCGAAACAGGGTTAATCTAAAGTTTTATGTTTTGCCTTATGAGAATCCAAAATATAAAATTACAGCCAATTTAGCTTAAAAACGTTTCCAGACTCCCCAAAATACCGAAATTGAGGAAATGCAGTTATATGGGGATTTTCCTAAAACATAGACCAATATCGCCAAATTTTTATAGCAAGACTGGACAACCCAATGAGATCATAAAATACTAAATTACTGACAAATTTATTGAACAATTTTCCCTAGTCTCTCAAAATATCGCATACTGGGGGGTACCGTAATAGGTAGGCTATACCAAACATCTGTGAGTAGTAGCATTGTTCTATATTCTATATTATTAGCTACATCGACGAAAAACTTTATTCCGATCAGAAATAAGTATAATTTGTAGAGGGTCCGGTGAGTATTTCGACAAATGACAATTTTATGCATACCCTACCCCTCATGGACTTTGTTTTTTCTAAAATTTTCGGAGTAATTCGAAGACTTTGAAAATAGGTCGAACAGTCACACGTCGGCTCAACCGAACAAAACGTGGAATTGATAGCTCATCCAGCTTTGAATTGGCACCGAATGACTCATTTTTATTCTCTCACACACAAAAATTAATGGTCAACGTTCAAACAAACTTTTGGAGTTATCTCAATCGATGGGGGAAAAGTGCTTCGAAAATTGGTTGGAGTGCATGCGAAAATGGTATAATCATGCAGAAGAGTTGTTTGAAAATCAACAAAAACATTTTCGATGATAAATATTGACATTTTAATTGTTGGGCCGGAACATTAATAGCCCTCGTAGCTTCCATGAAAATTTTCGTCCGATTTCAGGTAAATGGTTCATAAAAGACATCAAGTTTTTCCGAGTGTCACAAAATTTTGCATCGTGTACTGAGTCGAACCTAGAATGATGCTTCGGTTGTAGACTTGCGAACTGAGCTTAAAATGCTTCAAATGGAATCAAGTTTTTCTATATCGTTTCAATTTAAAATTTCGTCCGATTTAGCACAAATGATGTAAGCTACTAGGTGGAATTTCTGGTCATTAGAAGTTTGGTGGGCATTCAATGAATAAAGTGTCGGTTTCACGCACTTGCACTTAAATCAACTTCATTAATAGCTGATTTTAAAGGGATTTGATGTTGAAATTTTTAAAAAGAAATATTTTATAGAAGTATTTATTTATTTTTTTTTTGAGAATCTAAAAATATTATTTTATTTATGTACACATATATGTTCAAACCGCTCATTAAATTGACTGTATCCATAATTATTACGACTCTCTATTATGTATTTCCAAATTTTTTCTTCTGCCTCAATTTAATTTCAAAAATAATTTCTTCATAGCATATATAATTAAAGGATTTTTTCGTCACAAAGAAATAGATTTGATCCAATAGCCAAATGTTAACAAGCGTTTATTTTTCTCTTTTATTTCTATAGGCCAAATGTTTATATATCCTTTGTGTCAAAGCGTTATTTTTTCGTTAAAATCAACACTTTGTATTTTGGGTCCACCTTTGACCTCGTTTTCCATAAAGAAACGCCATATACATACGTTTTCATCAAACAAAGATCTGAGATTTTTTTGGCAACACATTTTTTATGTCACCTTTCTGTCATTCCCTTTTGTGAATGTCGTCGAAAAACCCCCCAAAACCCGTAAAAGAATATCTACAGTATTTATCTTGCAATTGCATGTCGTTTTTAATATTTGTTTGCGCTGCTGTTGTTGTTGTTCTACGTTGTTTTAAATATGTTTCTTGTTTCCTTTGGCTTTTGCTTCGCATCCTTTTTTTTGATTGCATGCAAATGTGACACGAAATGCATGCTCAAACATGCATACTATGAAGAAAAAACTTTTATTTGTTTCATTTTTTTAGTAGTAGTTCAGCCTTTGGTAGTGTGCGAGTATAGTTTGATTGTTTGTCTTAAATAATATAGGAAAATATTAAGGTGGGTTATAGGATGGAAAACAAATATTTCAGGGACCTTAAGAGGAAACATATCAAGTCGTGGATTTTCAAAGAATATTTTTTCAGGGACCATAACAAAGGCGTGGATTCTTTAAAAAATATTTTTTTCAATGACCATAACAAAGCCGTGACTTTTTTAAAGAATATTTTTTCAGGTACCATAAATAAGGCGTGGTTTTTTAAAGAATATTTTTTTTTCAAGGACCATATCAAAGGCGTGTTTTTTTAAAGAATATTTTTTCAGAGACCATCAAAAGACGTGGATTTTTTAAAGCATATTTTTCCAAGGACCATAACAAAGGCGTGGATTTTTTAAACAATATTTTTTCAGAGACTATCAAATGGATATTTATTGAACACTTTCTGAGGCCATCAATAGGTGTGGATTTTAAAGAATATTTTTCAGAGGCCAACAAAAGGCGTGGATATTTAATGATTCTTTTTCAGAGGCCATAAAAATGCGAAGATTATTTAAATAATTTTTTCAGCGTTCTTTACAAGGCGTGTATTTTTTAAAGAATATTTTTGTAGGGACCATAACAAGGCGTGGATTTTTAAAGATTTCTTCAGGGATCAAATCAAGGCGTGTATTTAAAAGATTTTTTTTCAGATGTCCTTAAAAGGAGTCGATATTTTAAAGATTTTTTTCCGATGTCTTTAAAAGGAGTCCATATTTTTTAAAAGTTTTTTTCAGATGTCTTTAAAAGGAGTCGATATTAAAAAAATTTTTTATACCCTTCACCACACTCTGGCACAGGGTATTATGTCTTTGTGCATATGTTTGTAACATGCAAAAATAATCGAGATAGACCTATGGTTCCTTTTGAGAATATGCATAGAATCACTTTCTGAATCGATTTATGCATGTCCGTCCGTCCGTCTGTCCGTCTGTTGGTGTTAAATTGTAAACAAAGTACAGGTCGCATTTATGATCCGAATTGGATGAAATTTGGCACAGCTCACTTGTTTGACCTAAGGACGAACCCTATTGAAATTGGGAAAAATCGGTTCAGATTTAGATATAGCTCCCATATATATTATCGTCCGATTTAAGGTAAATGGTGCACCAAAGTCCCTATATATCTTTCGATTTGCACGAAATTTGGCACAGCGTAATGAATAAGGTCTAGAATGATGTCTGCCAAGTTTCGTAAAAATCGGTTCAGATTTAGATATAGCTCCCATATATAGCTTGACCCTTTGGATTTGCACGAAATTCGGCACAGCGTAAAGCATAAGGTCTAGAATGATGTCTGTCAAGTTTCGTAAAAATCGGTTCAGATTTAGATAAAGCTCCCATATATATCTTCGTCCGATTTAAGGTAAATTGTGCACCAAAGTCCCTATATATCTTTCGATTTGCACGAAATTGGGCACAGCGTAATGAATAAGGTCTAGAATGATGTGTGCAAAGTTTCGTGAAAATCGGTTCAGATTTAGATATAGCTCCCATATATAGCTTCGCCCGATTTTAAATTAATAGTCCACGAAAGTTCCTGGAAGTCTTTTAATTTGAACGAATTTTGGCATAGCGTACTGAATTAAGTCTAGAATGATGTGTGCAAAGTTTCGTGAACATCGGTTCAGATTTAGATATAGCTCCCATATATATTTTCGTCCGATTGTATGTAACTGGTGCACCAAAGTCCCTATATACCTTTCGATTTGCATGAATTAAGTCTAAATTGTAAATTAGTCTCTGGCAAGTTTCCCCGAAATCTGTTCAGATGTATAACAAAAAAGTGTCGTCTGTTAGGATACATATGTGGAATATAACCAAAGTGGTGAAGAGTATCATATAGTCGGTCCAGTCCGACTTTACTACTTTCCTTACTGGTTTCAGGTGTCTTTAAAAGGAGTCGATATTTTAAAGATTTTGTTCACGGACCAAATCAAGGCGTGGATATTTTATAGAATTATTCTGGGACCATATCAAGACGTGAATTTTTTAGGCATTTTTTTCAGGCGTGAATTTTTAACATTTTTTTTTTCTAGAATTTTCCATAAGAGGAATTAATGTCCTAATCTAATGTCCATGCAACTTTATTGTTTTTTGTTTGTTGCAATTTTTTATTTTTTTTTTTTCTACTTCCTTTTTATTTACTATTTATAATTTTGCTTGCATACACATCTACATCCTACTTTTCGAAACATGTGTAAATGTCACGTGTTTTTAACATAAAACGTGTTGTTTGATTGACTTTTAACAGGCTGCACTCTCAGCAACAGCAGCAGCAGCAGCAAAAAACTGCAGAAATCTGCAATTTTCGTTTACATTGTTAACGTCGGCGACCTGCATGTTTCTGTTGCCAAAAGGAAGTTCATTCGCATTTTGTTGCAAATCGTGAGAGGTTTATAAAAAGGAAAAACAAAACAACGACAACAACAGCAACAAAATAAGGAAGACATATTTGTTATTTATTCAAAACAAGAAAATGGAGAAATAATGGGAAAGATGGATTTGAAATTAAAAAAAAAAAACATTTTTTGAAGGCCCTTTTAAAGCATTGCTATATTTTGCATATATTTATTCCGACATAGATTTCTAATATTTTGTCTGCAAACGGGTATTGAATACATTTTCAAATACCATGGTTGGGTAAAATATCACTTAGATGTTACTTAGTTTTAAATTTTAGTTTTAGTACTTCCAGAAAAAAAAATCGATATTTTAAAATATTTTTCTTAGTATTTAAATTTTTGAATATATACATTTTAAATTTTGGTGACAGTATTTTTATCTCACCACTCCCATCATTTTTTTGTTTTAAATTGAAATTAATGAGAGAACAAAAAACAATCTACGTATAAAAACTCTAAGATAGGGAAGTGAAACAAAAAAATTATATCACCATTTTTCTTAATACCATTTACAGGCAAATGCACACATACAAAAAAAAGCAAAAAAACGCTTAGTTATGCTTTAAGAGCATGATTTTAAGCACCAATACAATATACCACAGACACATACACACATATTCATACCCGTACAACAAGAAATATATTTTTTCTGTGTGTATGTGTGAGTGTGTGCAAACACCATGAAAATAAAAACTTCACTTTTTAAGAATTTATAGCAGGTGCAATAAATCGTCGCAAATACAGACACAAGAGAAGAAGGGGAAACAACAAGAAAAAATACCGTATACATGAGCCAACATCCTGTGGCAAGAACACTTACGGCGAATTAAAACAACAGCAGCATACATATACAAATGTGACACACATTCTTATGTATATGTGTGTGTGTGTTTCTTGTGCGAATAGGGAGTTGGAGTTTGTGTGCATGTGTGAGTGTTTGCTTAACAAACATTTAGTGTGAATTTCCTTGGAATTCTCTTGGTTAGTTTTCCGGTATACTGTAGCTGAGGTGCACAAAAGGGAAATTAAATTTGGGATATAGATTTTATATTCAAGGGAAATTTGTTTTCCCAAGCAAAAAATAAGTAATCTTAAAAACGTCGTAGTTTTATGGGCCCTTGAAAAATTCTTTATAAAAGCCCGACTGATCTTGGTCCTGGAACAAGAAATTCTTTTAAAAGATTTCTAGATTCACTGGGCCCTCGAAAAAAATTGTTTAAAAGCTTGGTTTCCCTTGGTTCTTGAAACTCATTTTTGGGACTTTTTTTTAATCAACACATGCTTTTGATCCATAAAACCCACCCCTTGATTTGTTTCCCTAACAATATATATTTTTTTAATTCACACCTGCTTTTGGTCCCTACAAAAATATTCTTTAAAAAATCCACGATTGTTTTTGGTTCTTGAAAAAAAATTCTTTAAAAAACCCCTGCTTTTTGTCCTTGAAAAAATATTCTTTAAAAAAGCACGCCTGCTTTTGTTTGTTGAAAAAAAAAATTCTTTAAAAAATCCACCCCTTGATTTGGTCCTTGAAAAATAATCTTTAAAATGTCCATGCCTGCTATTGGTCCTTGAAAAAATATTCTTTAAAAAAAGCACGCCTGCTTTTGTTTCTTGAAAAAAAAAATTCTTTAAAAAATACACCCCTTGATTTGGTCCTTGAAAAATAATTTTTCAAATATCTTAAAAAAACACCCCTGTTTTTTGTCCTTGAAAAAATATTCTTTAAAAAAAGCACGCTTGGTTTTGTTTCTTGAAAAAAAATCTTTAAAAAATGCACCCCTTGATTTGGTCCTTGAAAAAATATTCTTTAAAAAATGCACGCCTGCTGTTGGTCCTTAAAAAAATATTCTTACAAAAAAGCACGCCTGCTTTTGTTTCTTGAAAAAAATATCTTTAAAAAATCTACCCCTTGATTTGGTCCTTGAAAAATAACCTTTAAAATATCCACGCCTACTTTAGGTCTTGAAAAAATATTGATTTACCCTGAAAAAAAAAATTTTTTTATTCACACCTGATTTTGGTCCTTGATAAAATATTTTTTTAAATAAAAATCCACTCCATGATTTGTTCCCACATTTTTTTAATATTTTTTAAAAATCCAAGCCTGCTTTCGGTCATCGAAAAAATTATTTATTTAAATATATAAAAAATCAACGATTTCATGCTTCATTTTTGTCCGTAAAAAATGTTTTGTTTTAATCCATGTTTTCTTATCTATCCACCCTATTATATTGTACTTCCATACATAAATATATATTATATATTTAAACGCGTTTTCCTTCTCCTGTACATATTTTTTCATCTTCTTAACAATTTTTGGCTGATATTTTGTTTCATACATATTTCTTTTTTGTCAGACATACATACACATCTGTTCCCAAAAAAGAGAGCGGAAATATAACTTACCATCAAATGCCGCATTTATATCCCGTATATCGTAACTGCATACCGCCGAACCGACAATGCCATGCGTATTTGTTGTAAATGTTGCATAAAATTTCGTATCATCATGTGGCATTTTATATACCGATTGGATTTCATTGAAATAGAATGGAAATTCACTTGATATACTGCAATTGATGCGTGCCTTCAAATATGTGGCCCAATTCTGTCCGGTCATATATTTACCGCCACGATCATTTTTACAGACACGGGCAATACGTGAATAAATTGCCTTGCCACAATTGATATATTCGACAGCGTGTTCGCGAAAGAAGAAGTACACGTACTCGCCAATGTCGAAGGAGCCAACGAAATTTGGTTCTGTGAAAAAAGGGGAAAATGATAAAAGAAAAAAGTGGTTTTAATTTTAGTTTAAGGTTTTGGAAAAATGGGTTTGTTATTATTATGTTTTTTAGGCATGAATTTCAATACTTACTGTCCAACCATTTCGAATCATATTTAACTGTACGCTTGAAATTATGCACTTTGTGACCAGAGGTTGTGTTGTATATATCGGAACGGAAAATGACCGAATCGGCTTTGGTAAACTCAGCATTAGTGCCAGAATACTAGGGGGGAAATGAGATAAATTATTTAGGTTTTTTTTTTTATAATAATAAATATAGATATAGAAACAGTTGTCCTGAAGTTCTATTTTTAAGATAGAGAAATGAAAAATTAAAAATATTTAAATAACTACGCTCATATAAGCTCCTTAAGAATTACATTTGAAAAAAATCAATGCTTTAAGCCCTTGAAAATTATTCTTAAGAAACCCAAAAAATATTGAAAGTAGTTCAAAAATATTCCTAAAAAACCACCACGCTTATAAAAGGTCCTTAAAAAAATAATCTAAAAACCATCGAAAAATATTATTTAAAACACTCACCGTTATAAAGGATCTTTGAAAAATATTCTTTAAAAACCCCACCCAAATTCATATCCTTAAAAAAATATTCTTTACTAAACCCACGCTTATATGAAGTTTTTCCTTGAAGAATATTCTCTAATAAATCCATAAATATAGTAAGGTCCTTGAAGAATATTTTTTAATAAACCCACGCTTATATAAGGTACTTGAAGAGTATTTCTTAAAGCCCACGCTTATATAAGGTCCTTGAAGGATGTTTTTTAATAAACCCACGCTTACATAAGGTCCTTGAAGAATATTTTTTAATAAACCCACGCTTATATAAGGTCCTTGAAGAATATTTTTTTAATAAACCCACGCTTATATAAGGTCCTTGAAGAATATTTTTTAATAAACCCACGCTTATATAAGGTCCTTGAAGAATAGTTTTTAATAAACCCACGCTTATATAAGGTCCTTGAAGAATGTTTTTTTTAATAAAGCCACGGTCCTTGAAGAATACTCATTAATAAACCCACGTTTATATAAGATCCTTGAAGAATATTCTTTTATAAACCCACGCTTATATAATGTCCTTGAAGAATATTTTTAATAAACCCACGCTTATATAAGGTCCTTGTAGAATATTCTTTAATAAACCCAAGGTCCTTGAAGAATTTTCTTTAATAAACCCACGCTTATATAAGGTCCTTGCATAATATTTTTAAAAAAGCTTATTTAAGGTCCTAGTAAAATTTTCTCAAAAAAACCTACGCTTATATGAGGCTATTAAAAATTATTAAAAAATTAACCTACGCCTGTGTTTTCATTGAAGAAATAATATTTTAAAAATACTTATTTTTTGAATAACCCAGCCTCTTTTGATCCTCGAAAAAAACTACACTGTGTTGTTAACCTCTCCCAGCAAATTTAATTCCGCAATTTATTTTCTTAATTTTTTTCATTCTGCCCTTTTTACATTCACATAGACCCAATTATTTCTTTGACAACAGTTTTTTCTCCAACTTCTCCCATTTCGTTTAAAGAATTTTAAGTAATTTTTTGCCTCTATACATCTTGCTACCGGAACTTCTAAACCACTGGATTTCTATATTTTTTTTTCTTACAAAAAAACTTGTTATTATTTGTTTGCTGGCCTTAGTGCATCTTTACATACAAATTACAGGAAAAAAACAAAGAAGAGAAGAGAAGACAACAAATTTACTTACCAATGCTGGTAAACCGAACGGATTACCCTTCTCCACATAAACTGCTGTCGAATTATCAGCTGGATCGTAAGGACATTTGCCAATGCCTAAACCAATGCCGGGCACGTATTCCGATCTGGGTAAATGTGTTAAGTTTGCCTTTAACCGTTGTTGTTAGGTCACGCAGTCAAGACAATTACAAGAACGGAAAAAATAAACGGCAGCAGCATTACATAGGAAAAACAAGAAGAAGAATATGTCAACAAAAAAAGTTCAAGGAATTTTCAAAGAACGAACGAGGGAATGATAAAAAGGAGAATAGAAAATAGAAAAAATTACAATAATCACATTAGTCGTTAAGAGTATAGAATGAAGAAATTATGTCTTAAGGATAACCTAACCTTGGCATTTTCGATTTGTGTTGTGTTGGGTAGAGAAAGAGAGAGAAATGGTCACTCACACATATACCACATAAATACGTAGAGTTTATTATATAACCGCATTTAAAATAATGTTATTTTTCTTTAAAAAATAGATAAAGACTAAATCATTCGGTGACATATGGTTGACCGTATGTATTTAGTTTTTAAGTGACAAATTAAGTTCCCGTGACCATAGAAACCCAAACTTACTACCACAGTAAATTTGAACTAATATTAAACTCAAATTGCAAATAAAACCTAATTTTCCTTGTTGGTCTATTTATAACTAGAAAAAATCAATTCATGGAGTCTAAATAAAATACTCAGTATGTGGAAAAATTAATTAAATAAGGCTGCCGGAAAAGTGAAACGTGTACAATTTTCTCTAAATCGTTTTTATGGAATAACCACTAACATTTTATGCGTCATTTCCTAAGTACGTCATTTCATAAGTCTTTCCATCAGGCTCGAAGAGATAACGAACCAGATAGGGAAGGTGTAGGAGAGTAATTGTCTGACAACTTCATAATATATAATCAGTTTGATTGTTACGGACACCTTGATAAGAGACAAAATTCTTTATGGCTCTTCGAAAGATAACATCGATGTGGCGTATAACATCCAACTTCTCATCAAAAATGGCCCACAGATAGAGAATTTTTATTTTAACTTCGACCCCTATTTTCAGGATTGATCGAAGAGATCTAAATTTGGGATAGACAACTTTCCCTTTTAGTAAAACCGCAGAATATTTACCCACATCCAGCTTGAGGCCCCACATAGAGAAATATGTATGTAAGACCTCATGATTAAGACGGGATGTCAGCAGCTCACTCTAGGCCCAGACATAGCTAAAATAACATTGTCAGCATACACAAACTGTAGTCCAAGCATCAGGAGTCTCTGGTATTGCTATTACAAATAGATTGTACAGGATGTGGCTCAGCAGCAAACACTAAGGATCCCAAGCTCTTACAAGCCTTTCGCCAGAAGGTGAATCTCCTACCCTGATTTAGGAAGCTGGCAATCAGATGACCAGTTTGTAGTCAAACGACTACATTAACGACTCAAACAGCTTTCGCGAATGCTGGATATCGGGCGATAACTACCACAATTATCTGTTGAAGAGCCTTTGGCACCACCATGGCCTGATTCCATGCCTTAGCAAAAAATATCCTAAGTTTAGACAATGGTTAAAAAGGATGGAAAGGTATCCCAAATCAATGATGTCCTCATTCTAAAGAACAATATACCGAATGCGATCAAGGCCACTAGCTTTTTTTTAGCTGGTCTAGATGTGGGGAAAGTGGGAATCTGTCATCTGGCTGGATAAAACCAACATCAGCCAAAAATGACTCATCCTTAATCACTGAACCATTAGATGTGAAAAAATTATGATCGTTCAGCTCATCAACATCTTAATAAACTGAATTCCCGAAAACAGTATCCAATGGCCCATCCACGGGGCTCAAGCTTTTTTCTATGGGGATTTGGCAAAGCTTCCTATCATCATAATTCGATTCTCCATTCGAATCCAACAAGTTTCCAACATATTCTCCAGTTGCCATGATAGCTACCAATTTGACCTGTTGCATAAAGGTCCTGTTGTCAATTTTAATTCCCTCTAGGAGACCTTAAAAAAGTTTCTGCTAAAGTCCTCAATAATTCGATCAATTTTTTTTTAAATCAGACCTCAAAGTGGGGAATCTGAAGAGATTATTCGATTTTCTACACAGAATATTTAAAATACTTGGGATTTGCCAAAGCATCCTAACATCATAATTCGATTCTCCATTCGAGTCCAACAAGTTTCCAACAGATTCTCCAGTAGCCATGATAGCTACCACTTTGACCTGTTGCCCAAAGGTCCTGTTGTCAATTTTAATTCCCACTAGGAGACCTTAAAAATTTTTCTGCTAAAGTCCTCAATAATTCGATAAAAATTTTTTTTTAAATCAGACCTCAAAGTGGGGAATCTGGAGAGATTATTCGATTTTCTACACAGAATATATACAATACTAGTCTTTATTCCTACATACCCCACAAAAAAAATTATAGAAGCCCACATAAATTTGCATTTTTGTTTTGGTATCTGAGTGCCTGTAATTTGGCACTTCGTTTTCTCCTGGCCGCAATTTACCATTGCTGATGTGGATGGATCTAGCCGATTTGATTTTTTAATTCCTTACTGGGTTACCTTAGAACCTGTTTTGAGATACGTTCAAATAATGAACCATACCTAACATTGTTGATAATTTGTTAAGTCAGCCTTCTTCCCGAATGATTCGAAAAGTTCCACATTTAAAAAATAATCCGATTAAAATTTGACTCGACATTTCTCTACATAATATATCCTTAAAATATATATCAAGTCGTATTAGAAGTTCATATCAAAGAAACGAAAAAAAAGTAAAATACTTCAATTATCATATTTCTATCTGTCCTAATTTGCACACAGGAAACAGAAGATAAAAACAACATGAAAATGCTTTTAAGGAAAAAAGAGACGTCAACCTAGACTAATGAGTGGTAGGTACCTTAATAAAAATTGTTAACTATGTACTGTAACATTGTAACAAGCTGACCCTTAAAATACCAAATATTTGATGTTACGTTACGTCTTTTTTTCTTTGACCTGCTCTCTAACTCCCTGGCATTTTTTTGTGTGCGGTATACTAGACTAATCGTTTGAAAAATGTTTGTTTACCTACCTACCGAAAAAAAAAATAATCCTATTTTATGCCAGGCATACTCAAAAAGTACTCAACTTAAAGATCTGTGGAAAATAAAATGTCATACTCACGCACAGCATTTTCTTCGTGTTGTTGCTGCTGTTGTGGACAATGCCTCAACGTAGTTAGGGAGGCAGCAGTATTAAACGTAGAACTTTATTTTTCTACTTTGTCTTAAATGCCTCTGGATTGTCCGGATAAAAATGATGCTACGTTTGGACAATTTTACAAGTATTTAGTTGTTTTTATGTATGTGTGTGTGTTCTCATATTTCTCTCTACTAACACCACTACTCTTACACTTAATACCAAACACAGTGAGTTAGGTATCCAAGTATTTTTTCTTCTTCTTATTTTTTGTAGGTTACTGTAGTTTACCAACAACAACAATTACCTTAGCGACTTGTTGTAGTTGTTGTTGTATTTCAAATATATATATATATATACTTACATTTATCACGTAGTCTTTGGGATTGTGGGCGTTTGTACCGCAAACATATAGACGTGTCCCAGAGTCCATGGGCTGTATAACGCGTATGTGATTACGGCATTCCACCTTCTTCAAAGCAATTCAGTAGGCACGTACGCGTACAAAAAAAAGAAAATAAATAAACACAAAATTGAGAAGAAGAAGAGAGAAATGAACGAAAAAAGTAACAAAATATAAGTTAAAGAAAAATATAAAAAAAGAATTGAAAATAAAAAAAAAATAAAAATTTATAGAATTATAGAATGATGAGAGGAGAGGAACAAAGAGAGTAAATGAGAAACGAAATATTTAAATTGCAACAAAATAAAAAAATTAAGTTAAGTTATTTTGTTGTGATGAAAAATATGTGCGTACATACAATGGGGGGGATAAAGAGAGAGAAAAAGAAGACGCATCCATTAGTGGGGGTTCCAAATTTGTTTTTTTTTAATTTTGATTTTTTTTGTTAGTTTTATAACAGAAAGCCAAAAATTTTATTTTTGAGTTTCGTTTTCTTAGTTCTTCATTATCTCCCTTTTGGTGTGGCGGGGCTACGAACAACTAAATGGATACTTAAAAAAACTTCCGGGGCTTACCTCTTGTTTTCCCTTGGAAACACAGCTTAATATATCTGAACCTGAAGGTTCCAAGATGAGGACATCACGCTGGAAAAAACAAATGAAAAAATAATTAAATTGCCATTTAAGAAAAATTATTATACACAAATTTCATCTCAAAATAAAAAATTATTTTTATTTCATCTCCTCTCTTTAAGTTTTCTTCACATATCCGCACTGGAATGTTAACCCAGTGTATAAATTTCCTTGTCAAAGGAAACCGAACATTAAACAAACACAAGCATTATATGAAGAGAAGAAGAAAAAAACATACAAGTAAAAGAAGAAACAACTCACACAGAAAAAAACCCTAGAAATAAAACTATCGATCGAATATACGAATGACCTCCCCAAAGCAACGGCAACGTTAAATGGTGAACATGTCAAACAGTTTCCGGTTCAAGTTTATTCACACACACACATACACCGCCATTATTTACACATCTATTGAAGGAGAAGACAGACAGACAGACATGGAACACATTGCTACAAACATTTACGCATGGAGAGTAGTTCGCACACTCACACACACTTGGACACTTGGTCAAGTGTTATACTGGCAGCATACACTTAAACTCAAACACGTACACATTCACACACACACGTATATAGAAGGAGTTAAAAAAATGTGTGTCGTTGTTGTTTGTTTAAGTTGAAAAATTGCAGCAGCTTTTTGAGTTGTTCGTTCGTCTTTCTTTCCGATTTTCAACTTTAGATCAGATCTGTGTGTGTGGGTATGAGTGCTGGGAAATTTATATTGATTTTTAAATGAAACGTTTGAAAGGTTGAAAAGAAAAATAAATTACATGTTTGTGATGCAACTGGCCAGAGTTCAATTTCTTCATATCGTTGTTTTGGTTTTGCGATTTTTTGTTTGTTTGAAAATTAAAGGCAGTAAGGAAAGTTGAAAAGTCGGACGGGGTTGACTATATGATACCTTTCACCACTTTGGGTACAAACAAGAGATGCTAATATCTACAATATCCTGTAGATAGAAAAGGCATAGCATGTTTGGAGGACCAATATTTCCTGTAAAGATAACAAACATAGGCTCCTCGGTGCTCCATATCTATATCTGAACCGGGAACTAAATCTGAACCGATTTCTGGACGTTACTCAGTACGCTGCGCAAAAATTTGTATCAATCGGAAAATTTTTTCAATCGGACGAAATTATATATGGGACCTATATCTAAACCTGAACCGTTTCCAACAAAATTTAGCACGCTTTATTCTAGACTCAATTTAAACGATATGCACAGTTTAGTGTAGTGTTTTGGTTTTGCGATTTTTTGTTTGTTTGTGGATCAAAATTAAAGCCAATAAGGAAAGTTGAAAAGTCGAACGGGGTTCACTATATGATACCTTGCACCACTTTGGGTACAAACAAGATCTACAATATCCTGTAGATAGAAAAGGCATAGCATGTTTGGAGGACCAATATTAGGCTCCTCGGTGCACCATATCTAAATCTGAACCGGGAGCTATATCTAAAACTTAATCGATTTCAAGGAAACTTCACATACGTCTATCTGGACGTTGTTCAGTACGCTGCGCAATTTTTTTTTTTCAATCGAATTTTTTTTTCTATCGGACGAAACTACATATGGGACCTATATCTAAACCTGAACCGTTTCCAACATAATTTAGCACACATCATTCTAGACTCAATTTAATGCGATATGCACAGTTTAGTGTAAATCGAAAGAAATGTAGGGACTTTAGTGCATCACTTACATAAAATCGGACTAAGATATAAGTGGGGGTATATCTTAATCCGAACCGACTTTCACGAAACTAACCACACATCATTTCAGACACATTTCAGTAAGCTATGAAAAATGTAGTGCAAATCGAAACAAATATGGGAGCTATAGTGCACCATTTCTATAAAATCGGACCAAAATATATATCAGAGCTATATATGAACGGATTTTTATGAAACTTAACAGACATCATTCTAGTCTAAATTAAGTACGTTGTGCTAAATTCCATACAAATCGAAAAAATATGTAGAGAATTTGGCCCACTTTTTACATAAAATAGGACGACACTATATATAGACGCTATATCTAAATATAAACCAATTTTTACGCAACTTAGCACACATCATTCTAAACTCAATTAAGTACGTTGTGCCAAATTTCATAAAAATCGAAAAAAATATATAGGCGCTTTGGTCCACCATTTCTATTAAATCGGACGAAAATATATATGGAGCTATATCTAAATATCAACCGATTTTCACGAAACTTAACACACATCATTGTAGGCTCAGTTAAATACGCTCTGCCAAATTTCATACAAATCGATAGATATTCAGAGACGTAAGTACACCATTTATATAAAATCGGACGAAAATATATATGGGAGCTATTTCTAAATCTGTATCGATTTTCACGAAACTTAACACACATCATTTTAGGCTTAATTCAGAACGCTCTGCAAAATTTCGTACAAATCGGCAGATACATAAAATTGGACCAACATATATATGGGCGCTATATATAAACCAGTGAGCGGAGCAGTATAGTCGGACGGGGCCGACCATACGATACCCTACACAACTACAACGGAACTCAAATTTTCTGCGGATGTTTATTCCGAGCCTGGGCAATATTTCCTGATATTTGCACCCTCTTGCCCGATTAGAGGTAAACAGCACCTCTTCCTCACACTGACATATTTTCCGAATATTAAGAGTATTCAGTAAATTTATTGTCCAGATTCCCTTCACCGTGGGTTGTGTTGTTATGTTCGGCTTTCATTTGTGGTCTATAGATCGACTCGAAAATAACACAAAAAATTAAGTTTTCGATCCACTTCATTCCAAAATTATTATCTGGTCATCACCGAAAATTATAGGCGTTGCCTTGATCATATCTGGAACCTCATGGAACATTTCAAAGCGATCAGCGCTATAGTTCCGCTCTATAGAGTGATAATGGGTTACTAAATAATATATACGGAATCTATATCTAAATATGAACCGATTTTCACGCAACTAAGCGCACATCATACTAAACCAAATTTCGTGCAAATCGGAATATATATAGGGACTTTGGTACACAATTTCCATTAAATCGGACGAAAATATATATATGGGAGCTATATCTACATCTGAACCGATTTCTACGAAACGTCGCACACATCATTCTATACTTAATTTAGTACGCTGTGCCAAATTTCGTGCAAATCGGAGGATATATAAGGGCTTAAGTGTACCACTTACATAAAATCGGATGAAGATATATATGTGGGCTATATGTAAATATGAACCGATTTTCTCCAATTTCAATAGGGTTCGTCCTCGGCCAAATAAGTGACTTGTGCCAATTTTCAGTTCTGATCATAAATGAGACCTCTAGTTTGTTTACAATTAGCGACGGACGGACATGCATAAATCGACACAGAAAGTGATTCTATGCATATTCTCAAAAGGAACCCTGGGTCTAGTTCGTTTCTATATGCCTGTTACAAACATATGCACAAAGACCCTGTACCACAGTGTTTTCCCCAACCTAATATATGGCTGCTATGTATAAATATTAACAGATTTCAACGAAACTTAACGCACGAGGTTCTAAACTCAATTCAGTCTGTTATGCAAAATTTCGTCTCCGGCGGACAAACCTTGGGAGTTTGGTGCACCATTTACATAAAATCGGGAAAAAATGGGGGCTATATCTTATATCTGAGCCGATTTTCAATAATTTGGGCTGTGCGACTTGAACTTTGTTTACAACTTTACCTGGACAGACATCATTAAATCGACAAAAGCAACCATGTGTCTATCTCTTATCCTTTTGCCTGTAACAAGCATATGTACATAGACATAATACACTGTACCACAGTGTGGGGAAGGGTAAAAAAATATTTATAAAAATATTTCATCCAAAAATAACTTCTGTATTTCCTCTTTGTAAAATTTTGGAATATATATTTTATGTTTATTGTTTGTTCTCTTTTGCAGTGTCATTTCCGTCGTGAATAGTCATCTTCTAAATTTCAATATTCCCCTGATTCGTTTGGATTATAATATATTCTATTTTGCCATTCTAATTACACATTTTCAACATTTAATTCAATTTCTAATCAATATTTGCCAAGCTTAAATACAAAATTCCAATACAAATTTATTTTTATAACAGTAATTTTAAATAATAACATTTCCACCAAACAACTTCAGGGTAAAAAGTAAGAAGCGGGAAAAGAAGGAAACCAGCAACGAAAACAAAAATCAATTTTCTTTTCATAAATATTTCAAATGCGAAAACGTGCAAAAATTTAAATGCTATTATTATTATTTTCGATTTTCATGAAGAACAAGCAACTCATACAACAGAGATGTTAGAATAGAATTCCATTGAAGCATGTAGTCGTAGCAAATAATATGACGAAAAACAAAAATCACACCCAACACTCAGCGACCATGAAGCAGTATGGAATTGAATGCCAGTAAAAATGCTCAACAATCTGTAGGCTTTTGCTAGCTAAAGGCTGCTTCGAACTGAACCCCACTTTTCCTTCCTGTCATCTGGAAGTAGATGAAATAAAAACTGCTTAACAGAGACCGAGCTAAAAATTTGAAGGCGACCAAAAAATATCATCGTCATCGTCTATTATGGAATTCTGCGTTTCTTTGCTTCATCGCTTCTGTTTTTTTATTTAAATGGTACTCAATATGAAATGCTATGACATGCTTTGCCGTTCTGCAAAAGCAATTCCTGTTGCTATTGTAAAAAAAGGGAACATTTTCAGACTCGCGCGTACAACAAATCGAATTAAATAAACAAATGCGTAACGTGACTAAACTGTAAAAATGTCATTCGAAATGTTTGTGCTAGAAATTCTATAGCCCCCAAACACCTCGACTTCGAATAAATGCTTGGCAATTGTATGGTGTTGTATTGTATTGTTGCTGCTGCCACGCGATAAACTCTTGTCGATTGGCTGGATATTTTGCAAATGTTTTCCAATACCAACCCCCCTGTCCCCCACCAAAGTTCCTTTTCAAGAATTTTTCAAATGGGTGTTTGGTTTACGGGC